CTAGAGTAGACAAATTGCCAGTATGAACTTGGAATATACATCCCCTCACAAAATTGGGCTCAGTGCGCTGAATGGTCCATTCCAGCTTTAACACTGTTTTCTTGTATGTACTTTTGGTTACAAAATCATAGACTGTCTACATAATTCTATTTATTTCTTTGATCTGACGTTCCCAGCATGTAATATGCTTTCTTTTTGTTTTAGTTGATGCGTAGTGTTTATACATGTTTATGGGGTATATATGATGTTTTATTACATGCACAGAATGTGTCATGATCAAGTCAGGGCATTTAGGATATTCATCACCTCGAGTATGTGTCATTTCTATGTGTTGGGAACATTTCAAGTTCTCCTTGCTACTTTGAAATATACAATACATTGTTGTTAACTACAGTCATTCTTCCCTGCTATTGAACATTCCTTCTATCTAACTGTATTCCTTCTATTTAACTGTATGTTTGTGCCCATTAACCAACCTCTCTTCATCTCCCTCTCCCATCATGTACCCATCCCACTCTCTGGTTTCTTTCTATCTTCTACCTCCAAGAGATCAACTTTTGAAGCTACCACACTTGAGTGAGAGCATGCAATGTTTGTCTTTATTTGCCTGGCTTATTTCACTTAACATGTTGACCTCCAGTTCCATCCATGTTACTCCAAGTGACAGGATTTCTTTTTTTTTTTCTTTTTTTTTATGACTGAAGAGTATTTCAATGTATATATTTCCTTTATCCATTTATTTCTTGATGTACACTTATATTGGTTCTGAATCCTTGCTATTACGAATAACGATGCAGTAAACATACGTGTGTGCAGGTATCCTTTTGTTTGTTTTTCTTTTTGTTTTGAGTTGAGATCTTAATCTGTTGCCCATGCTGGAGTGCAGTGGCATGATCATAGCTCACTGCAGCCTCAACCTCTGGTCTCAGGTAATCCTTCTGTCTCAACCTCCCAAGTTGCTGGGACTATAGGCACACCACACCACTCCCCGTTAATTTAAAAAAATTTTTTTTGTAGAGACCAGGTCTCCCTATGTTGCCTACGCTGGTCTCAAACTCCTGAGCTCAAGCAGTCCTCTTGCCTCAGCCTCCCAAAGTGCTGGGCTTAAAGGTGTGAGCCACTGAGCCTGGCCAGGTATGTTTTTTGTATGCTAATTTATTTTCCTTTGGATAAATACCCAGTAGTAGGGTTGATGAGTCATAAGGTAGTTCTATTTTTAGTTTTTTTGGATAAATACCCAGTAGTAGGGTTGATGAGTCATAAGGTAGTTCTATTTTTAGTTTTTTTGAGGAAACTCCATTCTGTTTTCCTTAGCAGCTGTACTAATTAACATTCTCACCAACAGTGTATGAGTTCTCTTTTCTCTGCGTCCTTGTCAACATCTGTTATTTTCTGTCTTTTTAAAAATAGCCATTCTAACTGGGGTTAGATGATATCTCATTGTTTTTTATATGTCTGTTGGCCATTTGCAATTTTTTTTTCTTTTTGAGAAATATCCATGTCCTTAGCCTACTTTTTAATGGGATTACTTGGGGTTTTTGTTTGTTTGTTTGTTTGGGGTTTTGTCTTTTTTTACTGTTGACTTACTGAGTTTCTTGTATATTCTGGTTATTAGGCCTTTGTTGGATGAATAGTTTGTAAATATCTTCTCCTGTTCAACAGGTGGTTTCTTCACTCTGTTGATTGTTTCCTTGACTGTGCAGAAACTTTTTGGTGGAATGTTTTCTTATACAGCTATGTTAAATAGATATTCATGTTTTCATTGTAGGAATAGATTGCTTTGATAGCTTTCCTTTGTTCAATTAGCAGAGACAGATCTGAAGACTTGTTAATCCAGCCTCCACCAGAGTGACATTTTCCTGCTTGCCCAGTTATTCATGGACTTCTTTCACTTAACTTTGTACTTATAGTACATGTTAAGATTATGAAGTCACCCGGCTGCTTTACAAAGCTCTCAGACTTTTTTTTTTTAAATCTGGATTTTGCAAGATTTATAATTATACTGTTGTTTTCCTTAGCATTTTGAAATATAGCATTAGTATTCCCATGGGTTAGAAAGAAATCTAAAGAAAGTTGTTTCGATATGGAAGAGTGAAGGAAGATAGAATGTGCTGTACATGATGGAATTGTCTCTAAAAATTACAATTGGCAAAGCCTTTCTTTGAGGAATCTGTTCCCTTAAACTAACTGTGGACAGAATGTTTTGTTTACATGCAACGTTTTAGCAGATATTTGGGGTTTTGCTGTTTCTCTTAATCATAGTCCAAATAAATTATTCGTCCTTTATAATTCCATAGTGGTTAAAGCAAAATCCAGTGAACAATAAAGCCTTACCTTTAACTAGTTTTGGCTTAATTGTTAACAAATCTTCTACAGTATTGATTTGTAGGGCCCCTGGTGAGTGAAGAGCCTACTGAATAAAGTAAAAATGGATTTGGACCTGCTGTTATTAATAGTGTTTAGATGCTATCCCTATTCAGATGGGCATGACTCCTAATTAAATCCAGTTTGCTTTGCCATTGTCCTTTGCTTACGTGTTGTCAGACAGGCTTCAATGGTTTTGTTCAAGCCGAGCCATCCTAACCAAATTTTGCAAGTACAGTCTTGAGACTCACAGCCTCAAGTGACTGACTTGCAGCTAAATATAGAACCCTCATTGAGTTACTTTGAAAAGTTGCTATTACTAACTTATAAGCTTTAGCAGACTGATCATAATTTCATTACCTGCTTGCAACTGAAACCTCTTTTTTAATACTTCATCATTTTACTAAACATTACTATCAGGGTTCTGTTTATTATTCAGTTATTGTTGATTGTTTTTCCTGAATTGAATACTAGATGAAGACATATGGAGACTTTAACATCGTGGCCTCTGAAGTCAAGTATCCTGTGTTTGAATCCTGGCCTGCTTTGCTCTATAATCTTGGACAAGTTATTTAACTTCAGGTTCCTAATATGTAAAAGAGAAATCATAACAGGAACTACCTAATCGAGCTGTTGTGGTGATGCACTGTAGCTAGATAGGTAGATAGATATAGAATCCAGCTCATGAGTTACTTAAGTTAAAATAAAATCCAACGTAGTTTATTTAGCCGATTTGTTATTTTCTTTATTTTTTTTTAGTTGGGGGGTCTCACTCTGTCACCCAGGCTGGAGTGCAACGGCACAGTTACGGTTCACTGCAGCCTCACCCTCCTAGGCTCAGGTGATCCTTTCTCCTCGGCCTCCTGTGTAGTTGGGACTACAGGTGTGCGCTACCACACCCAGCTAAGTTTTTGAATTTTTGTAGAGACACGGTCTCGCTGTGTTGCCCAGGTTGATCTGGAACTCCTGGGCTCAAGCAGCCCTCTTGCCTTGGCCTTCCACACTGCTGGGATTACATACGTGATTCATCACACCCAGCCAGTTTGTGTATTTTGTGATTCCTGTAAATGTCCCTTATTCTGGGTTTGTCTTTGTCTTTCCACAACTGGGAAAAGCCGTAGGATATTCGAGTATTAAAATCTTGTTCCTAATTATATATAAATTGATTCGTATCTTGTCAGTCGTCTTATGACCCCAACCTTAACGTAGGTGATAGGGAAGGAGGGATGTAAGGAAAACTAAGACATGACCTCACCTTTTGATGGATGGTTTACTAGAGACATTTAGTGTGACCCTATGTCTTTGCTACTAGTGTGTTTCCTTCATTTCCCAAATGAAGTCAGACTCTCCAGGTCTAGGCCTCCTTTTCTCTCTGCACTGTAATGAAATCATTATTTGATTCTTTTTGTCGAATGCCTATCTCTTCCTGGTAATTTATATGCTCTATTATGCCAAAACTTTTTTTCCTACTTTTTCTAGTTCTTAGCACATGTCTTGCCCAAAAGTGCGTGGCAAATATTTGTTGAATGATTAAATGAGTTCTCCTTTGAGGGATAAACAAATTGAGATGCATAGCACATGTGACTTATCTCAAGTCACACATTTTCTGAAAATAGTTCTAACCAGAACTCGAGTTTCCAGTCTTCTAGACCATAGTACTCTTCAGTCTTTCTACTACACTATTAAAATATAAGATCCAGGCCAGGCACTGTGGCTCACACCTGTAATTGAAGCACTTTGGGAGGCCGAGGTGGGAGAATTGCTTGAGCCCAGGAGTTCGACAACAATCAGCAAGACCTCGTCTCTACAAAAAAATCAAAAATTAGTTGGAACGTGATGGCGCTAGCCTATAGCCCCAGCTACTTGGGAGGTTAAAGTGGAAGGATCATCTGGGCCCAGAACGTGGAGATTGTGGTGAGCTGGGGTCTTGCCACTGTACTCCATCCAGCCTGGGTGACAGAGTAAGACTCCAACTCAGAAAGGGGAGGGGGAGGGAAAGAGGAAGAGTTAACTCATATCTACAAGTGAGAGGTTTCTTTGTTTTGTTTTGCTTTGTTTTTGAATCAAAGTCTCACTCTGTCACCCAGGCTGGAGTGCAGTGGCATGCTTATGGCCACTGCAGCCTCCACCTGCTGCGCTCAGGTGATTCTTCTGCCTTAGCTTTCCAGGTATCTGGAACTCCGGGCACGCTAATTTTTTCATTTATTGTAGAGACGAGGTCTTGACATATTACCCAGGCTGGTCTTGAACCCCTGAGCTCAGGCAGTCCTCTCAGCTCCACCTCCCAAAGTGCTGGGATTACAGGCTTGAGCTACCGCACCCAGCTACAAATAAATTTATTACTGAGACAGAATACACATGTCCCAAGGTACTGTGGAAAGTGAGAGGGGAGTAGACATTATTTTGTCAGGAGTTGGATGGCATGTACAGAAAGACTTAATAAAAGAAGAAACATTTGGACTTTTAAGTGTGGATAGATTTTGGATAAAAAGGTGTGGCAAAGGTCACTCCAGCTATAAACGCTATTTTATGTAGTTGTATGTCTCATTCTAGTCTTAATATCTTTAATGTCATTATTTTAATAAGCCTTTAAAATATACATACGTTAATCTGCTAATGATGTTGTTCTATTTCAGTGAACAACGTGGGAATGTCATATGAATATCCTGAATACTTTTTGGAAATTCCTGACTTAGACAATGTAAGTCTTTCCTTATATGTTATGAAAGCAAAAGGAGTGCCTACAGATATTGGTACAGTGATTCAGACCATGAGCACCAGAATCCAGCTGCCTGAGGGTCACACCCTGGCTCTTCTCACTATATGAGTTAGCCTGGGGATGATCTTAACCATACTTACTTTCCTCACCTATGAAATGGGCAACTTCCTAGGGGGATGCTAGATGGATTCAATAAAAAAAATTTATAACCTTAATTATAGAGTACCAGGTTCAGTAATAGCTCTGGTTGTATTATTATTATATTAAAACAGCTCTGTTTAAGTGTTAGAGTTCTAAACATAATTTAAAAATCATATGTTAATATACAGCAATGTGGTTGATTCAGGTAAACCAGCTCTACCAAAATAATAGCTACATTTTTGATGCTTACCTAACCCTTTACTGAAAACTAAAAAGGCATATCATTGAAGGACTATGTAAATTTTAAAAATCATTGAAAAATCTTAGGTTCGATAACTTCAACTCTTCCTATTAACAGAGAGGAAATTGCAAAGTATTCTGTTTGTTTTAGATGTAACATGTCTTTTTACCTCCAGACTTTACTTGCACATATACCTTGGATTTTACACGAATTATTACTTTTGTTGCAAAAATACTGTAACACGGAGAATAAAATAAAATCTGCCTTTCCATCCCAACCCATCATCTTCCCAGGTCTCTGCATTATCTGGGGAAACTCTCAATGCATCTCTAGATTACTTAAGTGTATATATAACATGACCACTGTGATGACCAAATCTACTTTAAAAAATTACCTTTTTTTTCAGACCATCAAGAAACTGATAAATATTAATGTCCTTTCCGTTTGTAAGGTAAGCAGCTTCTTTATAAATATGTCATCTTTTTTGGTTCTATTTCAAAACACTGACTTAGTCAGCTTGTTCCCTTCACTCAACTCTTGTTTAGATTTACATATGTATTCCAGATGAAAGCGGTCTATTTACTTACATCCTCGGGAAGTAGAAGGAACTGAACACCAAACAGGTGTCTGTATTATTTTACTTTTTAACAACTGAACAGTTACTAAATGCCTTCTATATGCAAACACTGTTAGGCCCTGTTATAGGCACTGGGACTACAAAAACTTAGGCTGGAGATGGCTTTTTACAAAGATTTTATCCACGTGGTATTCATCACTGGTAAAACATTTCCATTTTGTCTCCCTTGCGATACGTTTAAATTGATGAATTAAGTGTTGTGGTAAAACATCGTATGGGAGGTATGGGACCATAAAGTAATGAGTGTAATTGTTATTAGCCACATATAATGGCTAGTCTAATTGCTCGTTGCTAAGCATACATTATAGTCATGTCACTTGTATGTGCCAACAAAAGACAACACTGCCAATATCTGCCAAAAGAAAGAATAGCAAGCAAATATGATGAGCATGTTAATGCCATTTTCCCTTATATTGTAATAATAACTACAAAAAGATGCCATGCCTTGGTTATATATACCAGAGCAGCAAAAACTATTGCCTGAGGAAGAATTCCCATGAGCAGTATCAGATACTTTAAACTTAAACATACTTATAGAAAGCCAAATCCATTTTCAATAACTCGTATATACTAGTTTATTTAAGGAAATCTTTAAAAAAATGTTTAACTCAATGTTTAGCTTTGTTTAATGTTTAACTTTGCTGTTATTAGCCAAGTGTTTTACTCATGTAAGATTCCGTTTCAGTAAGGTAAATGAGTTATTAGTGAAACTGTGACTAGGTTTGGAGCCAGACCTACATGCACACAATTGATGTTTTTAAAACATGGTTAATATTGATGTACCTATATAGTTTTAAAGGTATTTCCTTAGCATATTTATACAGTTCTAGTTTTCTTTAATAATCTGTATGAGGTTTCAAGTTAATTACTCTACCATTTACCAGTTATATTGGATCTTGGACAAATTACTTAACCTCTGTACTTAAGGATTTTTTTGTTTTTTTCTGTAAATTGAGGATGATAATTCTCTTTACCTCACCGAGGTTTTGTGGGAATTAAACAAAGTAATATATACAAACTTCTTAGAACAGTACTCAGACCAGAGTAATGATTCTCACAATGTTACCATTGTTGTTAAACTCAGAACTGATAAAGATTTTAGTAAATATGTGCAGCTGTGACTTTATTTTTTAGCGAGCAAACTTTTTTGATCAAAATTATACCACTTCTAGTCTACAACTTACATATTTTGTAACTTTTGCCTTTTGAAAAGACTAATGTGTACTATTATTTTGATATATCCTTTCTGGTACATTTGGCCAAGTGCTTAAAATAGCAAATATGTGTTTCCTGGTATATTTTACTGAGTCAATAAAATATGTTCGTTTCAATTTTATAGCAGTGCTCATACTAACTAGAGTGTCTTCTCATAATTTTAACTCCTCTGTCAGATGAACTGTGTAGTTTTTACTCTAGATCCATTAGTATTTTTTCTAACAACCTCTTGCTTGTCTACACTTTCGTGTTTGTATACCCTTGTAGTAGAAAGTCCTGGCCTCTTCTGTCTGCCAGAACATGCATTTTTGGCAGGCCGTCTGCAGAATGCTCATGATGGGAGGCCAAGGTCTTGCCCTTGATCAGTGAGAATCAGTCAGTCTGCTGTGCCTCATAGTCACGGACTGCATCCTTCATGCAGCTTCGAGCATAGATCAGCATGTGCAGTCATCATCACATCATGCCCCTGCTTAAAGGTCAAATGGTGTAAGTGTGGGTCATACGGCACGTGTCCACAAGCACCAGAAAGCAACACTCGGTCTTTTGGAAAATAATGATTGAATAAAAATGAAGTATCATTTCTTAGATCTTGACAAACTATAAAGTGCTTCTCCCACCTCTTCATTCTTCCTCTTATTTTTCTTCCACTTTAGTGTATACACTTGTTCTCATCAAATGAGTTAATGGGGACAAATACTAGCTTATTAAACATTTCTGCACCATATTGATGGGAGTTATCATTGGCAGAGCTGGATAGACACTTAAAATCTGTGTACATAAGCTTTTTTCCCCAAACTAAATCCCGTTTCATAAGCACCGAGGGAGTCTGCTATGTAAAAGACTTCTGCAGAAAGCAGATAATCATCCGTTAATTTATCTTCAGCCTGAGTCTGCATTTCCCTAACCCTCTAGCATGCCTGTGTGATGGGCACTTTTAATGGAAGGACGATTCAAAACTCTTGGTTGACGAAATCTACGGATCACGGCGTTAACGTTATCTGGAGGCCAATTTGATTTTATAGTATTCGTGGAAGGATCGCTGTAGTTATCATCTCTGAGCACAGCTGACTAGCAGCCTTCAGGTACGAAAGTGGTTTGACTGGAACATTGGGAGGCAAGCTATGTGTAAGGACTAGCCAGCAGGTGAGAAGAGGAGGCTAGGGTGTGATTGTGCAGGGCCTTAAGTGCTGTGCTTCAAGGAGGAGCAAGGTGTGATCCAATCCACATCTTGGAGGGCAGTTCTAGTGGCAGGGTGACATGGCGACGTGTATCTTATGGTATCAGTGTTTTTCTTATTTATACCGAAGGAAAGCCACTCATCTTGATGTGACGCTCTCAGACTTAGGGCTCTTTGATGCAGCTGTAAGTTGCCCTATAGTATCTTTGGGCAAATTGTTCCAATTGTTGTTTTGTTGGCTGTGTTATGCTGCCAGGGCCAGGGTCAATTTTTCAGTAGCAGTGACTGTTTGGAGCCCTGAGGCTACTTAAAAGGAGATGAAAACTAGTTTGGCCATAGAATCTTCGAAGGTTTTATGGTGACTGGACATCAGGAGGACTAGGGCATAGACAGCTGCAGCTGAAAAGCACAGTGAATTTATTGAAAATGTCTTATATAAGAAAGAGAGCAATCTCTTCCCACCATCAGTGTTGGCCTGAGCTTTATCTCCACACCAACCACATGACAGAATATAACTGACTGAGAAGTGTGCCGAGATAGGCAAGTGAAGTCAGCTTGCCTTTATGACTTGGGGTGTGAACCCCTCACTTGGAGATATTTGCTGGGTAGGATGTCACCCCAGCATCTTGCAAGCCCTATTCTGTGCCTTGAGCATTAAACGACCTGGCATTACATTCCTTCAGGCCCACGTATCACATCTTGGATCAGTAGGTTAGACGATTATAAAAATCCTATCAGTCCCACATTCAAACAGAGGAGATATGAAAGTGAAATATCCTAAGATAGTGCTATCTTAGATTACCAGCAGATAAAGTGGTGGTGTTGTGACCAGAAGAATACTGGAGAAGAAATATTGATCAGAATAGTTTTGACTATAGACCACTGATATTTAATCATAACTAACTCTCCCATTTAGCTTTCTAGTTTGATCTGATCATTTCCCTTTTTAATCTTACCTAATATTTGGGGTTTATTCCTTTCTTCTCTCTCAGTGGCTTACTTAGCTGGGCTTTCCTTTCACCAGGGGTGTTTAGAAACCTTGTTACCTGCTTTTCCAGTTTTGCTCTCAAATCCTTCAGAGATAAATTTAGTCTTGTTCTTTTTCCCTGCATAGCAATTAAGTGGTATATAAATTCTATGTAGCTGACCAAGATGGCAGGCAGATCATTCTCAAACTGCAAGAGAAGTCCTACTAGACAGGGCTTTCTTTTCAGGTAAATCTTATTTCTTATCAAGAACAATGACCTTCACACCAGAAATGATGGAGTTTGGAACAATTAAACCTCGAGATATTGAACACTTTTCTGAAACAGTTCAGTGTTATGCCTGGGGAGATTTCCATCCAAGTGTACTGAAAGAGTTGGCAAATAAAATGGCAGAACTGCCACTGATTACTGTTAGAGAAATCATGGAAAACGGAAGAATGGCCGCAGTTCCAGAGGCAGGCACATGTGGGCTGACTTCAAACAGGTTGTGACTGACTTCCACATCAATCAAAAGACAGTTCTAAAACAGATCTGTTTGTTTCTTATTTGAGGTCTCGTTTTAGCATCTACCAAATCTGGGGTTGCCTTCCCTCTCTGGGCCAGACTGGTTTTTTATTCTTTGGATCACAACGCTCAGACCTCAAGAACCCACAGACTCTTTGCTCCTCTTCAGATGAGCACTGTCCAAGCAATATAGCTTGAACTGCCTGTGGCCTCTACTCAGGGGTGAGAAAACCATTCCTCCAGGTGATGCTGGACCCAGAAGCCACTGCCAGGCTTGATGAATAAGGTGGAAGCTAGAAAATGGCCCTGCTGCAGCTGAGCCTGTTAGGAAGTTTCCAGGCCACCATTCTGACAAGTAGAGGGGATCTTCTGACCTTTATTACCTTCATTAGCGCAGAGGAGGAAACGGAGGGATATGGGCCCAAGTAATGTGTGTTAACAGCCTTTACTTTTATAGTGAAATGCGGTTTGAGTTTTGTTGCTTGCTTTCTTTAGGAAGGTGGACTCTCAAGCGGGGGCTTATAATGTAGTTCTTCCTGTGTCAGATATCCAGCTGAGGTGGGGACTTAAAGTCATGTCTTATTGTGGGGTGGCGGGGAGGGAACCCTCTCCACCCCTCCAAGCTAGATCGGGTCTCTAATGATGTGGTTCCATGACACTCTGAGTGTCTTTCTTTCACTGAGCACTTCATTTTTAGGTTAGCGTTTCCTTAGGTTGAGTCTCTCTTGCAATTTGAGCCTCTCTACAGATTGCACACACAGTGAGGGTTGGTGCCATGTCCTTTTCCTTTCCTGCCATATCTTAGCCCTGGGCCTCACATATGGCAGGTGTACAACAACTGTTTTTTGAATAAATAAATGAGTGGACTATACAAACGGAAAATTCTAGTTCTAGTTTATTGTTTGGGAATAAGAATCATAGTGATTGTATGT